CTGTTCGACTGCGCGACACTGATCAACTCCCCACTCAAAGGTAACTTTTTTCGAAATCAACTTTTGAAGCGGTTCTGCAATTTCTTGAAAGTTCTTAATAAATTGACGATAATATCCTACCATGCCCAAAAGCGCAAAATGTCTTTTTATCTTTATAGGGCCAATTCCTTAACCGCCTGGATCTTCTCTGGGTCTGTGCTGATACCAAACTGGTCTACAGTGTGTCCCAAAAATGTTATTGAATTAACAAATAATTCAGTTTTTTCAGGATTAATGGTCCAGCCGCATTCCTGGAGCCTCAGAAAAAGCTCCTGCAAATCCCGCATATGATCGGCTAAATTTTTGCTAAAGACGATAATGTCGTCTATGAAAACAAGGACGTTTCTCCATTTCATGTTGGCAAGCGTGAAGTCCATTGCACGCTGAAAAGCGGAAGGCGCATCCTTTAGACCAAAAGGTAAGACTTTGTATTGAAAGGTGAACTCTTCTCCGACCATCGTAGTTTTACAACGGTCTTCCGGCTTAATCTTTATCTGCCAAAACCCCGACTTAAGATCTATTTTACTAAACACTGCTACTGGCATTTATCTAACGCCAAATAGGACTTCCCCACGCCGAATTAGTCGGTTCTATGATGCCATCCTTAATCATTTCTTGTGTTTTTGCTTGGAGCCACTTCCTATCCTCAAACGATGTGCGATACGGAGGAGTTCGAACCGGCAAACTCGTTCCCGTGTCTACCGAGTGCTCATAAATGGTACAACATCCGACTGGACGAGTTTTCGTTGGTAGAACTGACTTTGCTTGATAGAAGATCTGTTTAAGCTCTTCTTTGCTTGGGCAAATCTCACCGACTTTAATTTTGGCAAACGTTTCTTCCGTTTCAGGATCGACGGCACAGGGAGCGGAAGACTGCGACTGCATCGCGACACATTCATTAATTTTGTTCGGTACCGGAACACCTTTTTCATCGCGTGAAACGCCGCAAGAGTCACCGTGACAGCTTTCCTGAAATTCTGGAGAGTCCATCTGATACACAGCATCAACTAGTGCTACTTCACCAAGGTTAGTTTCTTCGTTTAAAACCAGTGGTTTGTCGGAAACGTTGACGACACAGACCCGACAGTTGCCATATTCGTTAAGCGTCAAAACGCCATCCAATAAGACAGCGTTTTTATTTGATTCTGGTATTTTTCCTTCGTAGAGAAATGGCTGAGTATATAAATACTCATCCTGGAATTCCATAAATTGTTCGTCCGACATGGCTGTTGTCGCCCGAATAATTCCCTGCGAATGGGGCTGAATTATCACCGGTGAAGCCGGAAAGAGCTCCATTTTGAAACAATCAATTGGACCAGGTTCAGGCTCGAAACGGTAAATATCCTGTTCTGCTAAATTTACCTCAGCCTGTGCTTGAGCTTGTTTCAGATGGGCGTCTCTATATGCCAGTTCGATGACATCCTTTGTGTACACGCATGCCGGGATATCTGTGGATTCACGGACATCCTGAGACCGTTTCGGTAAGTCTTTAGCCGTCGGTTGTTGTAAGACCGGTGCCGGCTGCACTGTCTCGGCGGACATCTGGCTTGCCGCATCTCTTTCCGCATATTCGCGTTTAATTCTACGGCTATAACTGGACTTTTTGCGCCGAGGAGAATTCCTTGCCGAACCTTCCGATAACTGTTCAAAACTTCCCACGGTAGGTTGCACTGAATTAACACTTGTCGATTCTCTTTCCGCTTTCCGTTTTTGTATCTCGTTCCAGATTGCCCACTGTTCGTTTATATTTACATCGGTGGGGGTATCATATGTTGCCCTGACAGCCGGAGGAAGCAAGTCTGACATTTGGTCACTAATCAACTTATGCTCCTGCGGTGAGTTGCCAATCAATTGAGAGTTAACTTCCCTTTGCTTCTCCGCCTGTTTATCTTTGTAGGAGACCGGACAAGGACCAATATCAATGGGCCGCATCTCATCAGCAGGAATAAAGCTACCGTTGTCAAATTCACCTGCCGGTGCCGGATTATCCTGTGAAAAGGTAACCTTACGTTTCCCAGTTGCTTTCTGCGCGTGTAATTGTTCCTTCCGTTTAATTAATTCAAGGTGCCGCCGATCGTTTACCGAATTACGACATACATCGCAGTTCTTTTCGTAACGTTCAATTTCGATAATGCAATCCGGCCAGTAAAAGACCTTAATTAGATATGGATACAACTTTTCGCACCGGCCGTATACCTGTTTATGCACCAAAATGTCGTGGAAGCAAGCTATTAATTTTTGCCGCCATTGGTGTGGCACAAAAATCCTCGGGCATGCACCAGAGTGATCGGGCACTCTGCACAGAATTCCTTCACAAATTATCATCCGATTAATTTCATATTTGGTATAATTCGTATTTGCATGCGCCGGGTTCTTGTACATTTTGTACCACATTCTGCTATCGACGCACATTTGTTGAGTTTCTCTCCAGAACTGTGGATCACGAAACATTTTTTCTGTAGGAAACAAGCCTTTATCCTGCGGTCTATCCATCGGTGACATCCACCTTTTCAACTCTGGATTCCGTGCCATGAAGGACGGATAATCGTGAACTTCATCAACATCTCTGCGGTCACGTTCAACAGGTATAACGTTAAGTAATTTGTTGTCCATACTAAGACATTCCACTGATTTAGATGATTTTTCCAAAACACCTAAATACAGATATTTTGCTGCAGGATGCTGCTGTAGGACTGCGTCCAAAGATGAAATCTGAATGGGAAGTTGTAAGGGGTCGTCACCCCCACGAACTTGACGTGAGCCAGAATTGGGCACGGGACTGACCGATACGGAAGACGAGGTACTCGAACTGCATGCCGGCGACGGGTGACAGATTTTTTCTTGTTTAATTGGCGGCTGGGGAGACACTTGTTCTCTCCCCCGCGAACTTGACTGCATATTATGTACAATTATTTCGCCGCCTCCCCCACGAACTTGACTTGGTTCTGGGATTTTTTCCGTCTTAATTTCTTTTTTAATTACAGGTTTGACCGGTTCGTCAGCGACGGAAGCCGCTTTCGGAAGATATTGACGAATCATTTCCTGAACAACTCCTCGTACAAACTCAACATCCCGCTGATCGGATCCCGTTTTAAGTGGTGCTGCCGGCACGGGCACAATTTCTTTAATTTCCACTTTTACAGGAACATCCGGGACTTTTATCGCCGGTGACGATTGAACTGGACGAGGCCACGACTGTTTTGCTTTTTGTAAATGTAAAATGCAAATTTCTGGATCAGCCTTTGCTAGGATTAAATGTGCAGATTCGTATGGCACAAACTTTGCCTCTTTAGCGACACCAATTCGCTCAGTCAGCATCAGTGCTGGGATCAGAGGAGACGGCTTAACTCCCGGGGGAATTAAAGGGTCGAAGTCGTGTGAACGGATAACATCCGACATGAGGTGAGTTTCGCGACGAAGGAATGCCGGGGCATTGGGCCGTCTACGCGAGAGACGCCAAGTCATCGTGTTCATGTCAAGGACAAACGGTTTTGTAGCTAAAAAGTCTAAACCTAAAACAACGTGGTCCCTATCAAAAGTGGAACTCACCAGAACTGCATGCTCAAAAGCCATCCCGAATTCATGGATGGTGACCACCACCGACAATGGCTCAATCAGCTGTCTTCCCTGATAAGCTGTATGGACGACCCTACCTTTAGTATGATCAGGACAGCGGTGAATATTTAATTTCAAATCATTAGCCATCTTTAATGACATAACGGAAATGCTAGAACCGGTATCTAACATTGTCTTCACTTTCTGATAATTTATATCGATTACAGAATACCTGGCTTGTGCATCCAACGTCGGCAACAAGCATACATGGTCTGCTAACGGATACTGCGAGAAATCTTGGACTTCCATTTTATGGCACTGAGGCGTCGGCGACGACAGACCTGCTGGTAAGTCTAACTCCATCATATTAATTTGCTGCTGAGGGTTGTTATATTTTGCCAATAATTCTGCGGACGGTTCATACTGACGAGGAAGTACAAACTGATTTGTACAACCTGCTGCCGGATGTAGCCCATGGCAGCGGAAACAAATCTCAACTCCGCGGTTTGTTCGTTATTTATCTTTTAAAATGTTACGCTCATCAAACGGAGGTTGATTACCAGCCTGCTGTTGCGGGCGATAATTCTGATTTTGATACTGCTGACGATTATTATTGTTATTATTACCACCACGTTGGTTATTGTTTCCACGATAATTATTATTTGGGCGGTAATTCCCACGATTATAACCGCCGTTATTATTATTATTTACAGGACCATCCTGCTGATACTGCGGATCGAAATTCTGGACCGGCTGCTGAAATTGCGGCTGCATAACCGGCATCATCGGATTCATCATCTGTACAGGGACTGGCATAGCAGCTTGCATCGGAATGGGCTGCTGGAACGTCTGCGCAAATTGCACTGGATGCTGCTCGACAAATTGCGGTTGCCGGTATACCGGGACCGGGACAAACTGCGGCTGGGGTACATTCAGGACGGGCTGCGCTGGAGCCGCAGGATTTTGTTGCTGTGGAATTACCGTTTCAGTGTATGAACGGGAATATCCTCCGCGGGTATTCCCATAATTTCCACGACCTCCCCGATTCGAGTAATAATTACCTCTTTGAGACGAGCCACCACGGCCGCCTCGGTTTTCGTAATTCGAGTTATTTCCAGCACTCCTTGGCTCTGTCGGTATATTCTTTTGAGTGGGTTCAGGTGTTTTCTTATCTTTATTCATCCGCTTCCACAATTTTTCACAATCTTGCAATTTCTTTTCGAATTCTGAGTAATTCTTTGGTGATGCGTTGTAGATCTCGCGGAACCATGCCGGCCGGTGATCCTGAACACCCTCCAAGAGCGCTTCAACCTGCTCTTCATCTGAGATTCTTAACTCCTCAAACCATGGGAGGAAACTATCCAGGTAAGCACGGACCGGCTCGTAAAAATCCAGTTTGCGATTATTCATTTTTCTGCGCATATCCGCTTTAGACAACGAGCCATTAAAATGCTAATTGCCGGTTTAAAGTAATCGGACCATGACTTTCCTTTATTGTCTTTCCAGAATTTTTCGAACCATTGGAAGGAGGCTCCGGTGAAAGCGCCGGTTACTCTACGACAAGTAACCTCATCATTCCAATTGTTCGTGGTTCGACACTGCTCCACATTCATGAGCCACTTCTGAATTTTTTCTGGATGGGAATCATCGAAGGTAAAGAGTTTCATACTGCCTTCGGCTTTATCGTTTCCTTTTTCCGCGAGCTTCGTGATTAATTCAACAACGCATTCTTGTGTAAGTGCTGCCCTGTCCGATATTTGCGTCTGCTTAATTAACCATTCTTCCAGATTTAAATTTCTGGACGTGGATTCGTTACTGGCCGTGCTACTAGGACGACGAAGTTCGTCATCAAGCGGCAAATCGTCCATTAATTCATTCTCAATGTCAGAACCGTCTCTGTTTTCAGATCTACGCGCATGACGGCTAACATCATCGGACTGCCTTTTGAATATCTCTTGACGCAAGTCTGTTGACCGGTTTTTCTTTTGATTGGGCAGCACCGTTTCCTTGGGAACCTGACCTTCGGAAGACGAGCGCGGCATAGCATGGGCTTCTGAAAATTCGACCCGTGATTCCTGTCTGGGTTTCCGGAGAATACTGGCCGGATTAGTTACGGGAGCTGAAGGCTGTTCATTAGACGCCGAAAAATTCTGGGGATCAAACAGGGGAAATGAGGTGGACCGTAATACGTCTCCTGTCGCTACCGGGGCTTCCTTTTGAAACTGTCTTTGACCTCCTCCAAGAGCAACACCAGAATTTCTGAACTGGAGAAGCTCGCTGCACGCTTGTTTAAATTCATCCTCCAATTTGGTAAGTTGATCTTGCTTTTCATACCACTCATCTCGCAACTGCTTGTTTTCTTCGTATAGTCGATTACAATTTTGATCCTTCTCGAAGGCGACGGCTTGTGCTTCCTTCTTCGCCTGCATCGCTTTTTCACAATTTACACATTTTTTATCATGTTTAATATCGCTCAGCTCCTTCTGGGCTTTGCGATTATTTTCCTTTTCCGTATCCAATAATCCTTCAAGCCGTTCAATTTCTTTTTGTGCTGCTTCATCATTTTCCTTAGGAATATGCATCGGGCCAACAGTAGACAGTTTGTTAAGCTGTACATTAGCTTTTGTTAGATCCCGCTGGAGGGTATCCTCTCTGTCTTTAGCGCGCTTCTTTTCATCATCTAAATCCTTAGCAAGCTTTTGAGACAGATTTTGCGCATCCGCTAAGTTTTTATTGGTCAACTTGTGCGCGTCTTTTTCCGCATTCAGGTCCCGCTGGGCTTTCGATAATTTCTGGTCTAAATCTGCAACTTGCTTCGCCGTATCAGGGAGTGTTTGGGCTTTAAAGCCGTCGATAGTAGTTCTCGCTGCCGACAGCTCTCTCTGTGCTTCCTCTAATTGTTTTTCCAAATGCCGGTTTGCATCCTTTAATCCATCACGCTCATCTTTCATAGCATTAAGAGCATTTTGTGCGTTTCTACCAGCATCTCTTGACCGAGACAAATTATCAGCCGCAATACGCAATTCGTTTGTCAGGCGATCATTTTCGGTTTGTTCATTTTCAAATTTAATACGCATTTCGTTGTAATCAGATTGAAATTTTAATTTCAGGTTACGTTCTGCATCCACACGAGCGTCCAGGGACATAGAGTTCCCCATTTCGTCTACTTTTGATTTCGTAGTTGCAATCCATGTCCGCAGACCCTGGAGCAGCACGGGCATCGTCTTCCGGGCGACTAATCCCACATCTTGATCGGTCTGTGTAAGGGCTAGGAGCTCATCAACTTCCTTTGCCTTAGCCAGAAATTCCTCATCAGGTTGTTCGAAGTCTTTTTCCGAAACAAACGCATGTAATTTCAATTGTGTCGGGTGAAAAGACATCCCGCCCCCCATGATACTTTTCTTTCTTGCAGATGCTTCCGGAGCTATATCCGCATTTTCACCAAACGCCATGTGAATGGGCGTATCATCCTCTGATCGGCTATCCTCATCCATATCGAAATCTGGAAGAGGTTGTTCCTTGTTAAAGAGGCTTTCCTCTGAAAGTGGCTCTACGAGCTTAAGCGGTTCTGTATTTGGTTCACTACGAGTAATTTGTTCTGTATTCTCGGTAGTTTTCGATTTTGCCGCCACCGCTCTCTTGGGTCGATCGTCAGAAACGGACTCCTTTGGTTTTACACCAACTTTTGCAGCTGCTTCAAGCGCAATGGTGGGCGCTTTTCTACGATCTTCCATATTTTTCTTGTATTCAGGTAACCACTTATAAGCCTTTTTAACTGCTTCATTAAACTGTTCATCAGTGATATCCAGGTAGGCTTCTGGAATACACCGTTCAGTCTCATACCATCCATTGTAGTAAAAGGGTGCCCTTTTGTTTGGGTCCACCGATTTCCCCAACTCCTGGAAATCTACCCACGGCTTACCACAATAAGCTCTGGAACCTTTGGGTGGTTCCAGATTGAGTGCGAAATACATCAAACCTAACGGTATTTCGTCGGGTTTGAATTTAAACCTGGTTTGTGTCGCCGCGCCTTCATATGGACCTTGTATAACCTTATCTTCTGGAACTTGGCTTAGCGCCTTGTTCTTATTTTCTGGGTTGGACATTCTTACGGTAAGTACAGTAACTATTGTGCTACAGCTTACCGTAACTTGGAAAGTTACAATTATGCAACTCTATTTCGCTGGACAGTCCTCCTTTAAGGTTTGAACTGCTCAGTGAAAGATTCAATCACAGCCGACCTTTGCGGTTCGGCTGCAAAACTAACTCTTAAAATTCTTTGCTGCACTTTGTGTGCTGCCGTAATTTTAACTCACAGGTCAATCCTACGGTACATACAGTAACTATTGTGCTACTGTTTTCCCGTAAAGTTCTGATATTGCGATTGTGCAATTCAGTTTCCACTAGACAGTCCTCCTTTAAGGTTTGAACCGTTTAGTAGAAAATTAATTACAGCCAACCTTTGCGGTTTGACTGAAAAACTAGATGCTAAAATTACCTTGCTGCACTTTGCGTGCTGCTGTAATTTTAACTTGCAGGTCAATCACCGTTTGCCGGTGTTTACCTTTTCACGATCAACTATCTCTAGCTGCTGATTTTGGCTACCGCTTGCGGCTTGCCTTTATCAGACTGCTAGAGATCGTTATCTCACTTGGCCACTGACAATGGCTCGGTGCTCACTATCTAATTGATCTGCAGGCCAGACACACTGACGCAACAGTTCACAGTTTATTCGCCGCGGTTACTGCTTTGCGCAGACAACCCGGAAATTACCCACAAAACACCACTCAATTCACACAGTCGACCTTTAAGGTTTCGACTGTTTTCCCTACGGTCCGATTAAATTAAATTTAAATTTAATTGGCGAGGAAGCTCACCAGTGAGGAAGCTCACGATTGCGAGGAAGCTCGCCAAAATAAATTAACTAGGCCAGGTCAGGAACGCTGACCTCCTTCGGCGCACCTTTGCGGTTCGACGCCTTTCCTATACGGACCACTTTTACTGTAAATTACCACCAAACTTTCCACCAATAATTTTCTGTTACATCGGGAAAATTAAAAGACACCGGTGGGCGCCATGTCGTGTATAAGCGTTCACGCCGGTTAGGGCTCCATGAACAATCTTTACTCTTCCACGCCTGTAATGCTCAGTCAGTAAGCACTCGTACTCTCAAACTGTAACAGATAAACTACGGTGGAAACGACGGACGACTCGGGAACACGGGAACTCAGGAATCCCTAACGAAGAGTCCAACTACAATCTCCGGTCGCAGTTTCTACGAGGATCAACAAGAGCTAGGACGATGGTGTCACGAGCAAACCTGTATACTAAGCGATAATCCGGGAACGACTATGCACTTCCGTAGGAACAAGTATTGCTGCCTCTTTATTAATACACTTCGTAGTCCACAACACAAGGAAATCGTAATTAGAAAGCAGTCTCAGAAGTAAATCTCAGACTACTGATACCGATATTAGAAGTGACAGGAACTTATATAGACTCTGCGCTATGACATCACTTACACCACTAGTAAAAGAGAACAGCAAATCACAGCATTGATTGACTAGATTATCCGTATGTTGCAGGTGGAAGGCGGACAGTCAGCATCCGTACGTACATCCCGGCGTGTGATCCTACTCCCACACGTCAAGTCTGTTGAGAGGAAAAGTCTTTCTTAGCAGACACATTTTTTATCAGACCTAGAAACCAAAGAAACCGAAGAGAAATATAAGACATAAGAAACGTAAGAAACCTAAACGAAATCTAAGAACAAACTGAAAATAACTTAAGAAATAGTAAAAATAACCTAAGATTACCCTGAAAATAACCTAAGAATAACTTAAAAAACCGAAGAAACCTAAGAAACCTAAGAACTCTAAGAAATCTAAGAAGCCTAAGAAAAACTCCTAAGAAACCCGGAACACTCGCAAAAAATAAGCGTGTCGAATTCATTTGCGGCGAAGTGTCATCGACCAGACGTTTTGCATCAAAATGTCGTTAAGTTAAAATGTCTTAATGCAAATTGTCCCAAACCGACGTGTCCCAGCGTCAAAATCTCCCGCGGCGGAAAGTCGTGCGTTGAATTTAATTGCGGCGAAATGTCACACTCCCTAATGTTCGGGTGCGAATGATATAAGCCTTTATTCGCAAAATCGCAAACTGGCTGTTGTAGGCGGTAGACGCTTCCGTATCTCCTCCAGCTGATAACTCGAGGAGGGATCGCTCATACACCATCGATTGCTTTTGAATTCGTCCCGTGGCTGGTTGAAACAAGCATGTGGTTATCTGATTGGTTAGTGGACAAATTATGTGAACTTGATATATCCATGCGATTGATATGATTTTTGCAGTTACTTTCCGGTGGTTCGAAACCGGCTGCTCCGTTGTTGTGTAGTAACAAATGTTAGTTAACAACAACAAGTTAAATGTAACAAATGGTTTCTTAGGATAACCTTAAAACCTAAGCAACCTAAGATAACCTAAGAAACTTAAGAATAACCTAAGAAACCTAAGAATACCATGAGAAAATAAAAAGAATAAACACGAGAAAACGGTACAAAGAAAACGTAATCCAAGCCCAAAAATATGTAATCCAAGTTTAGTAATCCAAATCAAGTAAACCAAATTAAGTAATCCAACTTAAGAGATCCAAGTCCAAGTATGAGTAATCCAACTCCGAATCCGAATCCAAGGTTCCGCGCGGGCCACACTGCACAGCAATCAGGCGCGGCTGGTAAATATTTTATCAGTCTCACTTTTATTACCGCACATTTGTTCGTGACGCTACTGGGAATTTGTACACCTACAAAACGGTAAGACAGTTTTTGATGTTCAGTCGGCGTCATAATTGCCGGCTGTCCACACACGCGTGTCATTTTACATTAGATTGACTGCCTCTGATTTGGGTTTGTCTCGTGACTATCAGCGAACACGACATAATTTTTGTATTAAAGGATTTTGGTGGTGTTTTCTTGGGAGCGCCTATTGGTGATCCTCAGCCCGTTTCGTTTGCGGTGGCTGCAACGTGTGTCGGTAGCGCATATTGCCATCCTCGTCCTGCTGATTTTATCGCTCGTCTTCAAAATGATTGATTTTGTGAACTACGCGTACGGCACACGTTACGGCGTCGATGCCGAGTCGGCATCGATGCCGTAACGTGCGCCGTACGCTTGGATAAGCGGGTACGCGGATTTGTCGGCATTGCCGACAAATCTGTGGGCTGGATTCATCGATGGCTTTCTGTCCACGGAACAGCAACAAGTGCGTTATCAACAGAATTTCGGCAGTAGATTTTGATTTTTGATTTAGAACAGGCACGCACAACGCCATTTCTAAAGAAATGAAATTCAAAACTACCCATTTTTGTTGCAGTGTTCCTTTTTGCAGGTCGTTATGCGCCTTTTTCAACCTTTTTTCTTGTCCTCATTCTAACCTTTGGCTTGATCGGCTCTCTCGCATTAGTCGCATACTATCGTCAATCCGAAATCAGCAAAATGCACGTTTTTCCAAACACCCGTAAAGAGTCCTGTGCTTCGACGTCGACGAGAAGCGCCCATAACAACATTAACTTCAGATTGCTCAGTAGTGCCGCGCTGTTTCTCGTGATGCGCGCACCGCAGACGTTCCAGAGGTGCGTGCATGTTGGCCGGAAACAGGACAGTTGCTCTGTACTCGTATAATGCCGATAATTCGGTTACGGTGATAACAGATGATTTCATTAACCTGGGCAGTCTGGCTGGTTGCACGTTTAATTTCTATGTCTACCTGATGACCGAGCGTTATCGCAAGCGATTTATAGGCGTCGTCGTCCGCCCGCTGTTATCCTGCTGTATAACAACACTGCCGTTACCCGACAAAGAAACATGCCAAGTGGAAGAATGCAACCGGATTAGCTCATCGACGTCGGTTTAATGCCGGCATCCCTTGTTATCGACTTCTTTCATTCCGGGGCAGGAGCATCCGACTATGGCTGGATGTCAGTTGTGATCTACGAGTACAGTCTACGGCAAAACTATAAGACAGCTGGTAGTGGAAACGGAAGAACAAAGATAGAGAAGCACGACTGCTCGATTTTTGCAATGGAGGCGGCGTCTTTAATGCGTTTATGGGCGGCATCTGTAGATTGCGCACAGACTCATTCCCAGACTGTGACGTAGTACGCACTTGCATGTCACGAGATTGTGCATATCATCCCTGGTAGAATATCTCCTGGCAACTGCCATGAGATATTCTACCTATTATTGTTGTTGTTGTCTTGTCATTGTTTTGGTGGTATTTAGTTCACAGTTAATAAAGACCGAGTACGGTTATATAACTTACAAGTATCGGTCGCGCTAGCGCGCGACCAGTTGTGTTTGAGGTATGGAAGTATGAAAGAAATACAAAATATACTTCGTAAAGCAATAAAAAAAAATTTGAGGAATATTTCAAATATGAAACCCAGCGAGGCCAGCTGCGAAAACATTTTAAACATGAAGAAATGCGGAATTTTTTC